TCATACCTGGATTGGAACGCAGTCTTGTGTTGATCCGCAGGATCCACCTCGATCTGGTGGTATCCAAACTTTAGATCAATCTTACTAAAGAACTTACAGCCCTGCAACTGGTCCAACAAGTCGTCAATACCTGGAAGAGGTTCGACATTTTTACTAGTGACGACATTCAACCCTCTGTAGTCAATACAAAGATGCAACTCACCTTCCTTTTTGGGCACAAAGAAGACAGGGGCACCATTAGAAGAGGAGCTAGAGCGAATCCATCCTTCCTCAGTTAAATCCTGCAACTGCTTCTTAAGTTCCTCAAGTTCCTTAGAAGACATTCGGTAGATAGGGCCCTTGGGAATCTTACTGCCAGGAATAATTTCAATTGTGTGCTTGATAGCACGCTTAGTTATTCCTGTTGGTTCAGTTTACAGATCTTTATACTCTTCCAGGAGTTTCTCAATCGAAGGAGGATAGGAAGTAGAACATTCACCTGCCTTCTTTACTAAGACCATCATTACTTCCTGTTCCAATTTCTTCTTTGAAACCATCGATTGAAATGTTGGGTAACTCATGCAACAGAAAAACAGACTAGAGTCAAAGCCAGACTAATGATACAATTTGATTGGTTTCAATTTGGAGTGTGCATCCCTCAGCTGCACCGTCTTCTCTTTGAAATTGATTTTGGGGTTGGCTTCCTCGTGCCAGTCCATTCCCAGAATCAAATCGGGTAAATTATTTTCTATCGTGAAGGATACTTCATGCAGAATCTTCTTACCTTCCTTGGTTCGAAAACGACGCTTAACACGATCAACACACTGTGAGATAGTGATTGTGCTTCTGTCAGCCAAAATAAATGTGATAGGTCGAGACAAATTTTTCACTTCCATTCCGAGATGCAAATTGCGTATTGATTTCTCGGAGATGTAGGATTGCGTCGATCCTGAGTCCAATAATGCACCTACGAGTGTATGTGCAATCTCTAAATCCGCGATTAATAGGTCACCCTTAGACTTAGATTTCTTAGCCCACGAGCTCCGTAATGCCAGCAATTCATTATCGAGTTGGTCAAGAGAGACGTCCAGAGAGACAGTGCATAAGACAAGTTCAGGGTGTTCCGGACGATGGGCCGAAGAAGAACCATCCTCTGCCAAACGAGTCAAAGGGTTGGAAGGGTTAGTAGGCGCCTTACCTTCTACATCCAAACCCTTAGATTCGGTAGGAGCAAATGCTACTCCTACTGGTCGCTCGCTTTTGGGTTTCGGGTCAACGGGCACCATGCAATCACATGCCCTGCAGTGCCACATTTCAGGCACTGCGCATTGTCCATTCGTTCCTGCAACGTTTTTCGTAACAGGCCCATTTTTTCCCACGGCCTCCCGACCGCAATTCCGGGATGCTCTGGGAATGAGCGTAATCTCTTTTTCTTTATGGGCGGTCGTGGTCCTCCCTTGTTGACCACGGCAGCAGTGACTTCCCCCTTCCCAGACTCACTGTTGCTCGCCACACCCGCGGCCTCCAATGGCCACTTCTCCACAATATCGTCATCAAAGACGACGAGGGTGTGGTCCTGGCGCTTTTGGCGCCAAAGTATCCGCTTGCCTGATCCTGCACCACCACCAAACTTCACAACACATGCATACGAGTTCTTTACCTAAGAAGTCATTTGCTCCCTCTGGAGAGCAAGATCGCGAAACTGCCTGTAATTCTATTTACCGGATTTTGACTTTGCCACGAGTTGTCCTCGAACGGGCTCGGGCAGAGCACGGGAATAGATATATAAGACTTGGTTGTCCTACAGGTTCAATCCGGGAACCTGCAACAACCGATCAACTTCTCGACACAAAGCTTCTACCGAGGTCCAATGTTTTTGACCAATGATAGTGAGCTGGTCAAAGGCCTTGTCGGTCGTCGTTTTATCCAAGAAGCGTTCCTTAATCTTACCAAGGAACTGCTTCAGGTTCAAAGTTGCAGCCCACTCCCCAATATCATCAAACCCCGCTGCATTGGCTTCGGCCAAAACCCATTCCTTTGCTTCCCCCCCAAGACAAGAAGTAGAGAAAGCAACTTGAGACTCAGGTTCAACAGGGGCCGTACTACAATACGTCTGTATCTCGACAATCCACAACAACAAATTTTCATCCTTCTTATTGCTGAATGTGAAAGGCAATTTCATCTTTACCTTCTCTTTCTTCTTAGGCTTCTCAGGCTGTGTGGTGGTGTCCTTTTTCCCGTCTGGAGACTTCGGCGGACTCGAAGGCTCTCCTTTCTTTTCTTCCGGTTTTTGAGTATCTTCATTAAGAGACTTCATGGCATCTCCCATTAATTTCTTTGGCTTTTCTTCTGTTTTTGTTTAGACTTCCTCAACCACCTGATGCTTTCCTTTGACCAAATTTGTGATTGTCCTTAGTCCCGCGGCCACATCATCAATCTGTGCCTACATCTGTTCACCGTACTGATAAATTTTTATCTCAAGGTGAGCTAGGTAGGTCACAAGTTGAGCCAAAGAAATTTCATGATCCTCTCCTTCGGTCTTGATAACAGTTTGTCTGATCTCTTGGATTTTGTGCTCTTGCTATTCACTCTTTTTCTTTCTCAATTCTTCTTTCTTTGTCTTCTCCTTCTCAAGTGCTTCCTCTAGTTGTCTGCTATTTTCATCCACAATTTCTTCAGACACAATTACTTCTCTCTCCTCTTTACGGTCTACAATCTTTCCAAACTGCTCAATGACATACTTATCAATTGTTTGTCGACACGTGATTAGTACATCCTGAATTCATAGGACGTCGGTGCCTGTTTTGGCCCGTTCGATAGCAGCTCGTACTTCCTTCAAGTCGAACCTGTCTCGCACGTATGCCTCGACTTCGGCACCTGTGCCACGAAGGTCAAACATCAGTTGGTCCAAGCGGGTATTCAAAACCTTCTTCCGCTCGTCCACTTCCTGAGCCTTTGAGAACATTTACCTACGGACAAGCTATCGGTACCTTTATTTTATTTTATTTATGGTAAGTCCTAGGTATTCACCACATTGTTGCAGTGGTGTGGTTGCAAACATCTAGCACAACGGCGCATAGATCATTAAGAAAGCGTGAGCGGTTATTAGCACATTATAAAGTTGATCATTTCCACCAAGAATTTAATTTCATGGATGTGCTAATTCCAATGCCCGGTTCGAGGATCTGGGGTCTCCTCATCAATGTCGACTGGATATAAGAGAAAGGGAATAAATCGAGTAAGCACTGGTAATTTCAAACAATTCCAGAAGAGAGACATCGTAATGTGCGTCTACCGCACAATAAATAATCAAATAACAATAATAAATTCCACGGCCGCATTATTCAACAACAACAAGAATTTCAAACAACCGAAGAAGAATAAATACAATTATTTTTATTTCTAACTAATGTTGTTCATTGTTTGTCTGTGTGATAACGTTCTAATCAAGAGTGTACAGGTACCACCTCAGGCCCGTGTGATCAGATACAACACACAAGTATACACAACACCACAACACAGCAAACGACAAGTAAGTATGCCAACATCAATCAGCAAAACAGTTTGTCAGCAATCTTCTTCGTCTTTTCTCTGCGTCGTTCCTGGCGTCAATGCGATACTGCACCCCTCTTGACAGTTGGCACTACAGCTGTCCAGTCAGTCGTTCAATCAGTCGTACCACCTTCGTCTTCAAGGTGCAACTCTTACTTGGCAGCCACCTGCCTGCCACGTGTCATCCCTAGCAGATCTGCCACGTCAGCACATCAATGTCCAATCAATCAGTGGTGGGATGCCACGTCAGCAAATGTGTGCTCTGGTCCTTCCCGCTTGCCACTTCCTCGCATCTTGGTGTGGTACCGTCGTTGTTCCAGCCAATCAAATCAATGCCATGTCAGCCAATGGAGCCAATGCCATGTCAACAGGCTCGCCACGTCAGAAGACAATCGTGTACGACACCTGCCTGCCACATCAGCAATCAGCCTTGATGTCCAAAGGCCACGTCAGCATATGTATCAGACTTGGTTGCACCTCTGCTGCCACGTCCGCAATCTCGCACAACCAAGTCTCTAGACGTGGCACATGATATGCCACGTCAGCGTGGGATCGCGATGCCGCCTCACTATCGCGATCCTGGCTGGCGCACGGTCACTCTTGATCGCGATCCCGATTGCCACATCAGCAATCGTGTTGGGATCTGGCCTTCTCGCCAGCGAAGTCCGTGCCACGTCAGCAACACCGGCGGTCTTCGTCGTTGTCCACGTCAGATCTTGTTGTCGTCACATCGGTCGTCGTTGTCAGGAGTAAGCTGTGATATAGACACTTGTCAACAATGCAAGCCCAGATGAATATAAACCTGCTGATGATTATCAATAATCAGAATTATGTCTTGATAGAATGAGATGGGAGAATCATACATTGACGAAAACAGGGAGAATAGACTTAGAGAGTGGGGAAAAATGCCCACTTCTACTTTGGGCCTCCTCCTCGATCACCACCTCAAATAATGAATAGTTTGAACGTACATCTGAAGTTCTAATACAATGTGCCACGTGGCACGTCAATCAGTCCTCATCAGCGCACTGGAGCAATGTCGACCTCAAGATGACCAGGTATGTGTCCACAATTACCCCACAGTCATGATCTCCTCCTGAATGACGATGAATCAGAACAGTAGTGCCAGTCACGTAGCCCAGCCAGTGCACTTCGAAATTGGCCAGGATCATAACAGAAGAGAAAAGAGAGAGAGAGAGAGAGAGAGAGAGAGAGAGAGAGAGAGAGAGAGAGAGATTCGCGGACCGTTTGTTGTGGGTCAGTTCTGGGGCTAGCAGTGCTATTCAGCCTGATGTCAGAACAGCAGCAACATGTTTCATCCATTTAGACTCTCATTTCCCTCCAATGCATTCAAATCGCAAACAAGAGTTTGAATAGTGAACATGTTTGCACAGGCAGAGAGTGCACATCCCTGACCATTGATTACAGAGATCTCAAGCACAACTCGTCTGAAAGAAGATTTTAAATACCTTCAAGAGCTCCTCTCTTTTACGGAGAGCACGGCGCCTCATCTCATCCCTTGTCGCTTCTCGTAGACGGCATACCCTTGAATGAAGAGACCCAACCAACACCCCACCATCTTTGCTTTCATCTGCCAGAGTGTCAAGAAGATTCTCTGCACGGGCACCAATGTCATTCTCTCCTGACACACTCTCAAGAGCATGAAGAAGAGGGAGCAACCCCTCCCTTTCTATGCATTCTTGAGTCGGGATATGTCCCCTTGAAAGACCCCTGAGCATTCCCAAAATGACAGGCACTGAAGGCAGAGACACGCCGGCAGCCCATTCCGGTGACGCCTTATAGTCTGCAGTTTGCCCACCAGGACCAAGCCCAGGAAAAGCTTCCATCAAGTGGTGTATGGCTCTCACAGTGATTTTCTTTTCCATAACAAGCCCCTTCAGCTTCTCGCCACTTGGATTCAGCTTTATACTCTCAGTCATCTTGACAAAACTTTCTAGAGCCAGATGATGGTGGAAGGCAGCCTTCGCAATCATCTCACCTTTTGGGTTTTCTGCTTGGTGTTGCATTACCTTGTCATATTCTACCATCAGCTTGTCGTACTTTGCAAAGTCCAAGAAAGGCACAAAATACTCAACCAGAACCTCCATAGCAGGGGCCTGTCCATACGTCAGGTATGGCAAGATCCTTGCCACTGTATCTGTGTTCCGATGCTGTGCCTTTGTAGACGGAGGTGACAATTTCTCCAAGAACATCTTGACAGCAGAGACAGCTTCCACACCCACTCCCATCCCACCACAGCCTCCCTCTCCAAGAGACATTTCACTTTCATTTGCTTCCTCAACAAGGCTCTCAACGATCAAAAGGAGGCTCTCTGCCACCTCTCCATTATGTTCATTAACAAAAGCCTTCCGTGCTCGCTCCAGCAATAACCGAAGAGCACCAAGTTGAAGCAAGGCCCGACGGTTGGTGTGTATCTTACAGCATAAATTAAGCAGCTTCAGGAGCAGCACCACTTCTTCCTCATTTGCCCTCAAATCATCATATGCAAGATTCTGTCGAGTTCACAGAGAGAGGAAGCCAAACAGTTAATGGTGATGTTCATATCTGACTCTAGTTTCACAAAATGACGTAAGATTCTCACAGTTATGAGCGGGAGAAAGATCAGAGACTTGCACGCTGACCTTATCCACTGAACATTGTAAAACACTCCCACGTAGATGAGTCGAACACGAATTTGATTTTTTAAAAATTGAAAAAAACTCATTGCTTCACACCTTTCTTTTTTCATCAATCAAATCAAATGCTAAGTAACATAAAGGTAATGTATTGGAATGTAATCAACGATTCCAAATATTCAAAGTCATGACAATTGAATTACAACTTTGGTTTCCTGCTGATTGCCCCGAATCTTGGATTGTTCCTCAGTGTGAGAATTCGGAGGACCAAGATTCATAGGGGTTCCCAGCAAATAGCCCAGTGGTAAGAGACAACTTTACAGCTCCCCCAGACTCTGAAGAATCTACGTCTAGACCTACAGTGAACATGTGATGCCTTTCTCCATGATAAATGGCTCCTTCCCCTCTGCCGGTAGGTGCGAAGTGTGGTAGGTACTACGAGCCCTCTGCCCCATTCGAAAAGAGATTTGAATGGTTCACCGGTTCCACCGTATGCTCTCTGGGTTGAATTGAGTACGCGGTGCGCTTCTGATGCTGTTGCCACTTCGTGGCCTTCTTTCCTCAATGTCCTGGCACATACTATTTTTGACATCGCTGTACGCGGGAAGACGACGTGCGATCTAATTTGATATTTGAACAAAGGAAAACACAAAAAAAGGGCGAAGCTTAGGGAAATTCTGAGTACGGATCCGGACCGCCCGGCCGACCAGCGCCTGCCCTGGGGAGGTCCCGGGCGGCCTGGCCGGGCGGGGGGCCCGGTTGGGGGCCGGCCCCCCCCAGCACACCTGCCCAGTGGGGGGTTTCCGACCCCGAATCGGCCACTTTGGACGTCGGCAAGGCCTACCGGGTCCGACCGCGCCGAGAAAACGGTGCGTCGGGCCCGTGAGGCCTGCTTTTTTTTTTTCAAGTTCGGACGGCCCTCCGGCAGTCGATCATCCATGATCGACGGCCAGAGGGCCATTCGTTTTTGGAGGGAAAAAGGAGGCCCCGTTTGAACAAGCGAGTGGCTGGGGAGGTCTGCATTCGCTTTCCAAACGGGGCCCCTGCTCCAGCCGCCGCGTTCGTCCTTTCGTCGAAGCACCTGCCCGTCGTCGCCCATCGCCTAGGAGTGCCGTCGCCATCGCGTGGGAGCACCGTCGCCCGTCGAAGCAGCTGCCCGTCGTCGCCGGCGCCTGGGACTGCCGTCACCCGTCTCTTCTTCTTCTTCTTCTTCTTCTTCTTCTTCTTCTTCTTCTTCTTCTTCTTCTTCTACTTCTTCTTTTTCTTCTACTTCTTCTTCTTCGTCTTCATCTTCTTCTTCTTCTTCTTCTTCTTCTTCCCTCCTCCTCCTTCTCCTCTTATTCTTCTGCTTCTTCTTCTCCTCCTCCCCCTCTCATCTTCTTCTTCATCTTCTTCTTCATCTTCTTCTTCTTCTTCTTCTTCTTCTTCTTATAACTCTTCTGTTTTTCTTCTACCACGACTTCTTTACTCCTCCTCCCCCCCTCATCTTCACTTCACGTTTTTTTTT